CGACATCACATCTTAGTGATCAGACACGAAATACAATTACTCAATACACCACCGATACCATATTACGTAGCTCAGATACTGAATACAATGACTCAATACATCACCGACATCACATCTTAGTGATCAGACACGAAATACAATGACTCAATACACCACCGATACCATATTACGTAGCTCAGATACTGAATACAGTGACTCAATACATCACCGACATCACATCTTAGTGATCAGACACGAAATACAATTACTCAATACACCACCGATACCATATTACGTAGCTCAGATACTGAATACAATGACTCAATACAACACCGACATCACATCTTAGTGATCAGACACTTAATACAATGATTCAATACACCACCGATACCATATTACGTAGCTGAGATACTGAATACAATGACTCAATACATCACCGACATCACATCTTAGTGATCAGACACGAAATACAATTACTCAATACACCACCGATACCATATTACGTAGCTCAGATACTGAATACAATGACTCAATACATCACCGACATCACATCTTAGTGATCAGACACGAAATACAATGACTCAATACACCACCGATACCATATTACGTAGCTCAGATACTGAATACAGTGACTCAATACATCACCGACATCACATCTTAGTGATCAGACACGAAATACAATTACTCAATACACCACCGATACCATATTACGTAGCTCAGATACTGAATACAATGACTCAATACATCACCGACATCACATCTTAGTGATCAGACACGAAATACAATTACTCAATACACCACTGATACCTCAGATATTGTACACAATGACTCTAAACAGAACCGTCATCATGTCTCATATCTCAGACACTGCATACGATTACACAGTACTCAACTGTCGTATACACAGTTTTGTACAAAATGTCGTTATAGAATAAGAGATTTACCTGAATACAGCCGTATACAATTTTGCATTAGACGTGTTTACGAATTAAGAGAGACACCCCTGATTACTGTCGGTATTATTGATGGTGTAGCGCGGCATTGGTTGACAGCTGGTATGTGAACCCGTCATCGATGCCATCAGGTCGTGGAGAATTGTATCCAGTTATCACGCCCTGCAACCTATTTGTGAGGAATTCTCAACAGAGATGCTCTGCATGTGCTATTTTTCCTCAAACCTTGTTATAACCTAGCAACGAGATGGCACTTGGGTTGTGTTTGGACACGAGCCAACCTCCCGTTTTAAGGAAGCATTGTTCCCCGCAACGGAGGTCACATGATACTTGTCTGTCAGGTCACATGATACTTGTCTGTCAGGTCACATGATACTTGTCTGTCAGGTCACATGATACTTGTCTGTCAGGTCATATGATACTTGTCTGTCAGGTCACATGATACTTGTCTGTCAGGTCACATGATACTTGTCTGTCAGGTCATATGATACTTGTCTGTCAGGTCACATGATACTTGTCTGTCAGGTCACATGATACTTTTCTGTCAGGTACAAACGACACTTAATTAGGATACGAATGACTTTCTCATTATGAAGATAAATTCTTAACTTAAAATAGAATACAAAGATGAATAGTGAGTATAAAATCAGATATGGGTAGCTATTTCCACTGCTGGACGCGCACCGCTAGCACGTCGTTTTCTTTGATGCACGCTGTGCTACCTTGGTCCGCAAATGGATATTACGTTCTCTACCGTGAGGGGAGCGATTGTTACACGTTGTATCATTTACAATCCTGGTTGTCACTCACCCTCCATTATCCACTGTACATTATTCTGTGTACCATTATCCTGTGTTCATTATTCTGTGGAGCATTATCCTGTGTACCGTTATTCTGTGTACCGTTATCCTGTGTACCATTATCCTATGTACCGTTATTCTGTGTACCATTATTCTGTGTACCAGTATCCACTGTACATTATCCTGTGTACCGTTATCCTGTGTTCATTATTCCGTGTACCATTATTCTGTGTACCATTATTCTGTGTACCAGTATCCACTGTACATTATCCTGTGTACCTTTATCCTGTGTATCATTATCCTGTGTACCATTATCCTGTGTACCGTTATCCTGTGTACCGTTATCCCGTGTACTATTATCCTGTGTATCATTATCCTGTGTACGGTTATCCTGTGTACCGTTATCCTGTGTATCATTATCCTGTGTATCATTATCCTGTGTACCGTTATCCTGTGTACCGTTATCCTGTGTACCGTTATCCTGTGTAGCATTATCCTGTTTACCGTTATCCTGTGTACCGTTATCTCGTGTACCGTTATCCAATGTACCAATATTATTTGTACTATTATCCTGTGTATCATTATCCTGTGTACCGTTATCCTGTGTACTATTATCCTGTGTATCATTATCCTGTGTACCGTTATCCTGTGTACCGTTATCCCGTGTACTATTATCCTGTGTATCATTATCCTGTGTATCATTATCCTGTGTACCGTTATCCTGTGTACCGTTATCCTGTGTACCGTTATCCTGTGTAGCATTATCCTGTTTACCGTTATCCTGTGTACCGTTATCCCGTGTACCGTTATCCAATGTACCAATATTATTTGTACTATTATCCTGTGTACCGTTATCCTGTGTACCGTTATCCCGTGTACTATTATCCTGTGTATCATTATCCTGTGTACGGTTATCCTGTTTACCGTTATCCTGTGTACCGTTATCCTGTGTATCATTATCCTGTGTATCATTATCCTGTGTATCATTATCCTGTGTACCGTTATCCTGTGTACCGTTATCCTGTGTACCGTTATCCTGTGTATCATTATCCTGTGTATGATTATCCTGTTTACCGTTATCCTGTGTACCGTTATCCCGTGTACCGTTATCCAATGTACCAATATTATTTGTACTATTATCCTGTGTACCATTATCCTGTGTACCATTATATGTTCTACTGAACACGTGACATATGTGCCCTATATATGTTCTACTGAACACGTGACATATGTGCCCTATATATGTTCTTATGAACACGTGTATATATGTGTTCTATGTGCGTTCTACTGAACACGTGGCATATGTTGCCTTATGGTCATTGTCTGATGAAATGGTCTCAAGTATAAGCTCTGTACATCACCGTTCGTATTGATTGCATTTAAGCATGTTTTATTTCCAAATATCGAAAGGATAGTAAATAGGTGAAACACTTGCTAGGACCTCTACTTTTATACACGTGATTACATGGCAATTTACATTGCATAGAGTGGTTTACAAGAACTCTAGTTGGAGCACTCTTCCAAACTAGATCTTGCAATATTAGCGCACTCTCGCCATGGCCAGTTGATCACACGTAGAGGTCAGCCTCGGATGAAGACGTACTCTCGCCATGGCCAGTTGATCACACGTAGAGGTCAGCCTCGGATGAAGACGCACTCTCGCCATGGCCAGTTGATCACACGTAGAGGTCAGCCTCGGATGAAGACGTACTCTCGCCATGGCCAGTTGATCACACGTAGAGGTCAGCCTCGGATGAAGACGTACTCTCGCCATGGCCAGTTGATCACACGTAGAGGTCAGCCTCGCATGAAGACATACTCTCGCCATGGCCAGGTTATCACACGTAGAGGTCAGCCTCGGATGAAGACGTACTCTCGCCATGGCCAGTTGATCACACGTAGAGGTCAGCCTCGGATGAAGACATACTCTCGCCATGGCCAGTTGATCACACGTAGAGGTCAGGCTCGGATGAAGACGTACTCTCGCCATGGTCAGTTGATCAAACGTAGAGGTCAGCCTCGGATGAAGACGTTCTCTCGCCATGGCCAGTTGATCACACGTAGAGGTCAGCCTCGGACGAAGACGTACTCTCGCCATATGCCGTTACGCACAAATGTCTAAGACTGAAATCGAAGCACCACTAAAATACCTGTATTTGGCTCACAAACCGATTTCCAACTCACTCACGCACTCCTAAAACGACATTACAACTATAACCACGATGTTATGAGATGAACTGTATACCTCACTCTCATATTGTCGAATGAATGTAACTGGCACTTCTGGGTTTCGGCTGCAGACACGTCCGAGGATGAATAAATCATCACGTGTTTTTGTTGCTGTTTATTTTTGTATTCTTTTACATATATGTGTATTACATAGATGGAGATGTTACACTGATTAACTTGGAGAACACTGTGGCTAATTATCGGGAAGGAAACAGTTAATTGTCGGTAATACTCAAGTTATTGCATAGAGTTCGTAAATAACTGAGTCCTATTGTTATGGTTCTGTATAATTTATTCACTCTAAGAAAGGACTATACGGAATTATGATAGGTGACCATCCCTAAGATCAGACCGGCGAAACTTAATGAACACGTACTGCTACCGGGACTTGTGAAAATATCGATTAAGCTGCAAATCAGAAGTTAATTTAGTTTGATGGGGTGGGGGATTGAAGCTCATTTAGTTTCTCAATTTACATCGATTTATATTCGCGAAAGTGTTTTAAAAGGCATACAGCCACATGAATTCTTTATACTGATTTTTTTCACATTCCTCAGTATCGGACTTAAGCTCTTAAATTAAATTACTCAAATTAGAAATGAGAAACTATGAACTAATTCGTCAATGTCGTGAAGCGACGCCTGGTACACAAGGAAGCGAGGAGATAGGGTAGTAAGGGAAGAGGACGCCTTGTACACAGGAAGCGAGGAGATAGGGTAGTAAGGGAAGAGGACGCCTTGTACACAGGAAGCGAGGAGATAGGGTAGTAAGGGAAGAGGACGCCTTGTACACAGGAAGCGAGGAATGGGGGTAGTGAGGGAAGAGACTCCTGGTACAAAGGAAGCGAGGAATGCGTTAGTGAGGGAAGAGGACGCCTTGTACACAGGAAGCGAGGAATGGGTTAGTGAGGGAAGAGGACGCCTTGTACACAGGAAGCGAGGAATGGGGGTAGTGAGGGAAGAGACTCCTGGTACAAAGGAAGCGAGGAATGGGTTAGTGAGGGAAGAGGACGCCTTGTACACAGGAAGCGAGGAATGGGTTAGTGAGGGAAGAGGACGCCTTGTACACAGGAAGCGAGGAATGGGGGTAGTGAGGGAAGAGGACGCCTTATACACAGGAAGCGAGGAGATAGGGTAGTGAGGGAAGAGGGCGCCTTGTACACAGGAAGCGAGGAATGGGGGTAGTGAGGGAAGATGACGCCTGGTACAAAGGAAGCGAGGAATGAGGGTAGTGAGGGAAGAGGACGCCTTCTACACAGGAAGCGAGGAGAGAGGGTAGTGAGGGAAGAGGACGCCTTGTACACAGGAAGCGAGGAATGAGGGTAGTGAGGGAAGATGACGCCTGGTACACAGGAAGCGAGGAATGAGGGTAGTGAGGAAAGAGGACGCCTTGTACACAGGAAGCGAGGAATGGGGGTATTGAAAGAAGAGGACGCCTTGTACACAGGAAGCGAGGAATGGGGGTAGTGAGGGAAGATGCGCCTTGTACACAGGAAGCGAAGAATGAGGATAGTGAGGGAAGAGACGCCTTGTACACAGGAAGCGAGGAATGGGGGTAGTGAGGGAAGAGGACGCCTTGTACACAGGAAGCGAGGAATGGGTGTAGTGAGGGAAGATGCGCCTTGTACACAGGAAGCGAGGAATGGGGGTAGTGAGGTAAGAGGACGCCTTGTACACAGGAAGCGAGGAATGAGGGTAGTGATGGAAGAGGACGCCTTATACACAGGAAGCGAGGAATGAGGGTAGTGAGGGAAGAGGACGCCTTGTACACAGGCAGCGAGGAATGGGGGTAGTGAGGGAAGAGACGCCTTGTACACAGGAAGCGAGGAATGGGGGTATTGAGGGAAGAGACTCCTTGTATACAGGAAGCGAGAAGAGAGGGTAGTGAGGGAAGAGACGCCTTGTACACAGGAAGCGAGGAATGAGGGTAGTGAGGGAAGAGGACGCTTTGTACACAGGAAGCGAGGAATGGGGGAAGTGAGGGAAGAGACGCCTTGTACACAGGCAGCGAGGAACGGGGGTAGTGAGGGAAGAGACGCCTTGTACACAGGAAGCGAGGAGTGAGGGTAGTGAGGGAAGAGACGCCTTGTACACAGGAAGCGAGGAATGGGGGTAGTGAGGGAAGAGGAAGCCTTGTATACAGGAAGCGAGGAATGGGGGTAGTGAGGGAAGAGACGCCTTGTACACAGGAAGCGAGGAATGGGGGTAGTGAGGGAAGAGACGCCTTGTACACAGGAAGCGAGGAATGGGGGTAGTGAGGGAAGAGACGCCTTGTACACAGGGAGCGATGAATGGATATATTGAGGGAAGATGCGCCTTATACACAGAAAGCGAGGAGAGAGGCTAGTTAGGGAATAAGACGCCTTGTACACAAGAGGCGAGGACAGAGGGTAGTGAGGGAAGAGAAGCCTTGTTCAAAGGATGGGATGAGTGAGGGTAGTGAGGGAAGAGATGCCTGGAAGCGAGGAGAGAGGGTAGTGAGGGAAGAGACGCCTTGTACACAGGAAGCGAGAAATGGGGGTAGTGAGGGAAGAGACGCCTTGTATACAGGAAGCGAAGAATGGAGATAGTGAGGGAAGAGGACGCCTTGTACACAGGAAGCGAGTACTGAGGGTAGTGAGGGAAGACACGCCTTGTACACAGGAAGCGAGGAATGGGGGTAGTGAGGGAAGAGACGCCTTGTACACAGGAAGCGAGGAATAGGGCTAGTCAGAGAAGAGAGACCTTGTTCACAGGAAGCTAGGAATATAGGTAGTGAGAGAAGAGACACCTTGTACACAGGAAGCGAGGATAGAGGGTAGTGAGGGAAGAGACTCCTTGTACACAGGAAGCGAGGAGTGAGGGTAGTGAGGGAAGAGACGCCTTGTACACAGGAAGGGAGGAATGGGGGTAGTGAGGGAAGAGATGCCTTGTACAAAGGAAGCGAGGAGTGAGGATAGTTAGGGAAGAGACGCCTTGTACACAGGAAGCGAGGAATAGGGGTAGTCAGAGAAGAGAGACCTTGTTCACAGGAAGTTAGGAATATAGGTAGTGAGAGAAGAGACTCCTTGTACACAGGAAGCGAGGATAGAGGGTAGTGAGGGAAGAGACGCCTTGTACACAGGAAGCGAGGAATGGGGGTAGTGAGGGAAGAGACGCCTTGTACACAGGAAGCGAGGAGTGAGAGTTGTGAGGGAAGAGGACGCCTTGTACAAATCTCCAAATCTCTAAACCTATCACCGATTGAACTCCTTTTCGTTCAAAGAATTTCCAACAGTTTGGGCAGACCTTACAAGAAGGATACAATCGGGGCATGTACCATATATTGACTATACTATGAAGATTGAATTCCACAACGTCATTTCTGAGAAAAAAAATTGGGGTTTCCCGGAATATTGTTCCTCAAATGTCATGAGAGGGAAAGAGTTCCCACAGAAAATGGATGCGTTGGTATCGGCGTGATATTATATAAGGAGAGAGTTGCCTCGACGAGGGATGTTGTCATCATAAGGATGAGGTATGTCCTTGTCTCTTGCAGAGATTACTGACCACAGTGATTGGTGGACGAGACGGAGAGCTGGGAAGGTGGATACATACAAAGAGTTTGATAGCTAGGACAGCTTAAGCCACAATGACATTTGATACTATGGATCTCGATTTCACACAGAAGCAAAATACAAAACTTATCAGTTTGCATGGATGACAACCTTTCGATATTTAACAAGTCCATGCATACACATTGCTTGTTATTAGCTTACACGAGCTTCTTCTTAGCCAATTAAAGAATGAGCAAAATACGGTTTCCCAATAGCTGACACACTGCGGGTATAAACAAAACACGAATTGAATCTGCATGTATATGAGCGTGACCAGAAGACAGCTTCATGCGACTGGTCAGCACGTGGTTATTAGCGTTAGCCCGGTGGCGGACTGTTTCAACTCAGGATGGACTTTCGTTTCCTATGGCGAACGTTGACGCCGGCTCGCATCAGTCTACTAGGCCAGCTCTCCATCAAACACATATCAAATAAACTTGGCGGGACATTCAATAGGCTGCCCTCAAGGTAGCTCCCACAATCGATAGATCAAATTCCCTGTGCTTCTCTCAGATGACGTTCGTCTTGAGGTTCACCGCTCCACAAGACATTGATTTGTATGGATTCAAGCATGGATGAAACGACCGAAACCTCCACTCACAATACGGCTTTCTTACAAGTATTGACTCATATTCCGATCGCTTCAGATTAAATTCAACAAATAACAATGTTTACTCGTGCAATTTAGTTCCCAATTTCTGGAGAACTAGTCGATTTCTTTCTGGGGGTTTCTTAAATGACGTCGGTGGTTAAAGGTAAATATCACGTTATCTTCTACATTCAGTGGCGAAGGCTGGTCTGCCGTTCGTCTGCAGGTTTAATGTCATAGACATGTATTGTCATTACGCTAGTATCTAGATTTCCTGACAATTGCTACTAGTTACTCTCACTAAAGGTTATTATTCTGTTCACGGTAGCCGTCCGAGACCTCTCTGAGAGTGACTGTCTGTGGTCTTCTGATGTGAATGCCAATGCCCCTCTGAGAGTGATATTCAAGCCTAATTTAATGGACGAAGGACGAATAGCAGTTGTCAACATATCGCCCCATCGGGAAAGAAAAAGAACTGGATATCTACTAACCATGATATACGTTAGACGTTCAGACAATGCTATATCAGTATTAAAGACCTGTTCATATAATCTTTCATTATTGGAGGCCAGTTACTGTGGGCTAGCAGTACTGAACACCATTAAATATGAAGAATCGGTACTGGCCTGTTAATCTTGCAGTAAAAGTACCTAGTAGAACTGTAATATAACTTGTTGCTCAATACACCTGAAACTTAACCTGATAGATCTGTATTGTAACTTGTTGCTGAATGTATCCGATTCTCAGCTTGACAGAGCTGTACTGTAACTTGTTGCTGAATGTAGCCGATGCGCGGCCTGACAAATCTGTACTGTCAATTGTTGCTGAATGTAGCCGATGATCGACCTGACCGATCTGTACTGTAACTTATTGCTGAATGTAGCCGAAGATCGACCTGAAAGATCTGAACTGTAACTTGTTGCTGAATGTAGCCGATGCTCAGCCTGACAAATCTGTACTGTAACTTGTTGCTGAATGTAGCCGATGCTCGGCCTGACAGATCTGTACTGTAACATGTTGCTGAATGAAGCCGATGCTCGGTCTGACAAATCTGTACTGTAACATGTTGCTGAATGAAGCCGATTCTCAGCCTGACAGATTTGTACAGTAAACTGTTGCTGAATGTAGCCGATTCTCAGCCAGACAGATCTGTACTGTAGCTTGTTGCTGAATGTAGCCGATGCTCAGCCTGACAGATCTGTACTGTAACTTGTTGCTGAATGTAGCCGAAGATCTACCTGACAGATCTGTACTGTAACATGTTGCTGAATGAAGCCGATTCTCAGCCAGACAGATCTGTACTGTAGCTTGTTGCTGAATGTAGCCGAAGATCTACCTGACAGATTTGAACTGTAACTTGTTGCTGAATGTATCCGATTCTCAGCCAGACAGACCGTACTGTAACTTGTTGCTGAATGTAGCCGAAGATCTACCTGACAGATCTGAACTGTAACTTGTTGCTGAATGTATCCGATTCTCAGCCAGACAGATCTGTACTGTAACTTGTTGCTGAATGTATCCGATTCTCAGCCTGACAGACCTGTACTGTAACTTGTTGCTGAATGTATCCGATGATCGACCTGATAGATCTGTATTGTAACTTGTTGCTGAATGTAGCCGATGCTCAGCCTGACAGATCTGTACTGTAACTTGTTGCTGAATGTATCCGATGATCGACCTGATAGATCTGTATTGTAATTTGTTGCTGAATGTAGCCGATGCTCAGCCTGACAGATCTGTACTGTAACTTGTTGCTGAATGTATCCGATGATCGACCTGACAAATCTGTACTGTAACTTATTGCTGAATGTAGCCGATTATCAGCCTGACAGACCTGTACTGTAACTTGTTGCTGAATGTATCCGATGATCGACCTGACAGATCTGTACTGTAACTTGTTGCTGAATGTAGCCGATGCTCAGCCTGACAGATCTGTACTGTAACTTGTTGCTGAATGTAGCCGATGCTCAGCCTGACAGATCTGTACTGTAACTTGTTGCTGAATGTAGCCGATGCTCAGCCTGACAGATCTGTACTGTAACTTGTTGCTGAATGTAGCCGATGCTTAGCCTGACAGATCTGTACTGTGACTTGTTGCTGTATTTAGCCGATGCTCGGTCTGACAGATCTGTACTGTAACTTGTTGCTGAATGTAGCCGATGCTCAGCCTGACAGATTTATACTGTAACTTGTTGCTGAATGTATCCGATTCTTAACCTGGCAGATACTGACACTATGTATAGTTTGCTAATGAATTGACTGTTTCTAGTGCAGATCACTTCACATGGTTGCTGCCGACTTTCCCTGTTGCTGAACACCAGAGCCTGACACCGACCATGGCAGGACAGTAATGCAGACTCTAATATGACAAATATGTTGTAGGATGATCTAGCGATAATAAGGCCATCTTTTTCACTCGTCGTTCGCTTTCTTGGCGGTATATCGCAAAGCCGAAGATCCGTTCGTAAAAACGCTCCATGAAATTCAATATAGCTGCGGTATGCCCATTTAGCGGTTTGTGTACATACATATTCCTCTCCCAATTTGAAACTGTCCATGCCTAGAAACACATCACCAAAGCGACGAAGGAATATGTATGAAATACTGTTATAAATATTTCATTCAGAGTAAAAGTCACTCGATATCGGAATAATTCCTATGGTTCACAAGTGCATCAATCAGATAGATGACATGCGTGGATAACAACGCGATCAGTTTTCTCTCCATTATGTGCAGCGTCGTCAGTGAAGTTCCTTTACATTGGTCAATACTCTGGTCAATATCTATGGAGGCGCAGAGCACTTGGCGCCAACGTCAAACTGGACGTTTCCGGTGTACAAGGGGGATAAACTCTGGCGTGAGGATACTATCTTCACAGCTATTCTCCCTGTAGAGTCTGCGGCGCGGTTTGAGTGCAGGGCACTGAAAATTGGTCGAATTGGGGAATTCCGCTACCCGTTGAAAAGAACACTGAAGTGCCTTGCCAAGCCGAAGCGTAACCATAGAAACGTCTCTATCACACCGCCATCTCAATTCATGACGTCATGGGCCAGCGATAGGCCTTCACATCAAGCGTAATGTCGATGTTATAAATTTCAACTGTGGA